CAAGTTTGGTCTATTTTGAATCCATATGATCAAGTGTGGTGTGGTGCAAGTATCTAAACTAGATATTTTGCATTAAAATAATTAAAAAAAAGTGGAAAAGACAATAAAGAAACAGTTTTAAAAGAAGAACCCTTACGAAATCCACTTGAAACTCTCATCCCACATGTCATCATCGAAATGGTTTAATTTTAATTTTAAAATCAAAATTTGATTAAATACTTGATATATTTTAAAATAATAATATTTTAATGTTAAGATATTTTTTGGGATATCTAAAGGATGGAAGTTCTCTTATACACTAGTGAGGCTTCAAAACACGACAGTTTTGAGAAAGTAGTTGTTGAGTGTGAATATAGGTGTGTACACTCCCAAATAAAGCAAATGTAGATTTAACTTGCTGTTTTGCAACTCCAGCTTGTTGGGGTGAATATAGACGACTTCCTAAGTTAAAAGAGAAACCTCTAATCTTAAAAGGTCTCCAAGTCGTGGCTTCAGCTGATGATAAGGTGGGTTCACAAGTTTTCTTATTTACACCCGGTTTTGGACCTCCATGGTAATCTCTTAAACTAGCTCGAACGAAGGATGAATTTCTTTGATCATTCTTCTTAGAATATTTGGTGTACGGATGCAAAAAAAGCCAAGATCCATTGGTTGAACAGAATCTCCATTTGGCAGCTCGCCTTGCTTGTAAACTAGTCCTTATAAGCCCCCACGTCCGTTTGGCAATTTGGTTTGTTGGTTAACTATTTCACCCGAACCATTATTCTTCATAGGATATATTCCTTGGGGAATATCTAAGCCTAGGCCATTTGCTTGATCATGATTTGATTTATTTTTCAAAATAAATTGATATAAATTCACAAATAATAGTTTAAATTAATATTATTTTATAAGTGACAAACTAAATTTGTTTTCTTATGAACTTGAATCAAATCTTCATTTATTAAAACATTTTAATTTTACTCATCAGTTTAAATTTTAGTGCTAAATTTCACAACTAATGGTTTCATATTTGATTATATGATTTATTTAAAAAATTGTTTATTTATAGTTTTTTTTTCTATATTTCACACAATTTGAATATGAGTGGTAGGTTGGCAAAAAAAAAAAAAAACTATGAGTGGAAGGATTCATTCTAATGATTTTATTTTAACTAAATTTAATTTGAAAATATGATTTCATTTTTTTAATCTTAAGGACTAATAATTTTAATGAAGCTTTTAAAAAAAAATAAATAAACCTCAAATTTTAAATAAAATAAACATTATAATTATATTTATATAATTATCTATTGGAACAAAAAAAATATAATGATACATTTATTAAATATGAGTTACGAAAATTTATTTGAGATAATATGGAGGTTAGAAAAAAGTATATGATATATGCATTACAATAATTTATTTTATTAAATATCACATAATGAAAAACAAATACATGAATATGTTAGGAAATAAGAAAACATCTAAAGTATAAAATGTAGATGGATCTTCAAGATTATTTTATTTGTTGTGCGATTATTAGAATTGATATTCTTAATTCTCCATCACTAGTAAACCTGAAAGTTTTGTTATAGTCATCAAAATTTTTATTTTGCTTCGGAAAATTAAAGAATTAATATGTATAATCTAGTATGGTGTCGAAAATATAATAAAAAAAAACAATGTTAGATATATGTCATAATTTTAAAAATAAATTTAGAATCAAATTTTTACAATGATGTTTTCTTTGATATTACCCATATAGAAATATAAAAAAATAGATACATGAATGTAGCTTTGCACAAAAAAAAAAAAAAAAAAAAAAGATACATGAATATAGTTGAAAAGGATCAGAGAATGACTACTTATAAGATGATAATCTAAAATAGACAATGGATATTAGTCTTCAAAAAAATCAAAGAGAATGTAAGAGATATACATATATATCATATAATCTCTAAAATTAAAATTTATAAACTACGCTTATACAATTATATTTAATTTGATTTTTTAAAATCCATACAACAACAACAACCAACCAAAAAAATCTTAAAACTAAACCAAAATGAAAATTAAGATTTGAGATAAAGTAGAAGAGGATGAGAGAATGAGTGAATGAGTGAATGAGAGAATCAGAAAATGATTATTTATAGAATGATAAGTGATTGGAGTTGGGAGTTACAATTTTAATTTATTGTGTGTTGAATAAAATTGAGTGAAAAATATAGTTAATGCATAGATTTTATGATATCAGTTTTATATTAAAGTGTGAGTTAATGTATATGATTAAATAGGTTATTTATTTGTGTTTTAATTGAAAATAATTTGTGAAAGTAAAGTTAATGCATAGATTTATGATTTCAGTTATATATTAAAGTATGAGTTAAATGTATATGATGATATGTGTTATTTATTTGTGTTTTAATTAAAAATATTATTTTTTCATATTCTTATTGCCAAGTGGACTAATAAGGAGAAACTGAAACCTTACTTTTATATATATGATGATAAAAGGTGCTTTAGAATGAAAACAAAACTAAGCTTTTTTAGGCTCATAGACAACGGTCTTTAAAAGCTAAAATTTATTTTTCAAAATAAATTGATATAAATTCACAAATAATAGTTTAAATTAATATTATTTTATAAGTGACAAACTAAATTTGTTGTCTTGTATCTTGAGAACTTAGGGAGGAACTAATGCATCTTTGAAATTCTCTTGATGTGAAAGAGAATCTTCAAAACACGCACAAATAAAGAGTGAAAGACCATTTTTGTTTTATTGCATTTGACTCCAAAAAGGGCAAGTTTGGTCTCTTTTGAATCCATATGATCAAGTGTGGTATGGTGCAGCTAGGATCATGTAGGAAAGCTTTAAAGAATCTCTTAGAACACTTCCATTGCAAATGTATAAAGAAGATACTTTGCACTAAAATAATTACAAAAAGTAAGAAAGAGAACAAAAAAAATGGTTCTAAAATAAAAACCCCTAATTTAAAAAGTGTCTTCATCAAGACACTTTGATTGAGTTTGTTATTATTTTTAAAAAATCCATAATATAATATTAGTATTTTATAATTAAATTTATGTTAAGACACCCATAAAAGTTATGAAATGGAGATGGTCTAAGCAATCCACTAGAAACTCTCATCCCACATACACAAACTGATGCAAGAATTGGAGCTAATCCAACTTTAGATCACTTGATGATCAAGAGTTCCAAGCTTGCCACGCGGAAGGTGGGATGATGAAGGTGGTGATCTGACACGCTGGCGATCGCTTCTCTCGTGTGGGATCGATTCAAGGGGAATTGATGGATAGAAGGGTGATTGACTCGCTCAATCAGTGGGGTAATCGACTCACTCGATCAATGAACGAATGAAGGATGTTGAATCACTCAACAAACTTAATCCGCAGAATCCTGAAGTACTTGGTGACTCACTCACAAAGAACTACAGAACAATGACAAGACTCAAACTTTGACAAGTAGAAAACGTTTCTACTAGGATCGGACCCGCAGTCCACCGCGGGAGAATATTGATTTACATACGTTGATTTTAATATTGTGCGTGTTTTTAGTAGAACAAATCGTGTAGTGTACTTATAAATATTCCTAATAACAAATTGTAAAGAAAATATTAAATTGTTTATAATTAAACTAATCATATTAATTATGATTTACAAAATGGAATTTTCTGTTTTAGAATTCAAAAATTAGACGAATCATGGGAATTAAAGCAGTCAAAATAGGTCAAAAACCGCGGGTCGAGCCCAAATCATCTCACTATTGAGCAGATTTGGGAAAATATATTAAACCCGCAAATAAGCAGGCCACATGGATTGGCGGATCAACCCGCATGATAGTATTATTGATAAAAATATAATTTATTCAACATGTGGTAGTTTAAAAAACTTTTAATAAATGAAATTATAATATTTATAAATATAATGATATATAAGATTATAATCTCTAAATTTTTTCTAATTTATTTATTTTAGTAGAATTTTAAATTTTGGTTAATCTAAAATTATTTAAACAAAATCCACGGATAACCCCGCAAATCAGCATACATTCGCGCGACGGGTTTGTATTTCATATATGCTACCCGCTGGTCGTGCGGACAGACTAACTACATGCCAAAATATATTTTGCCTATTGCAAAACAGGCTTAACGGGATGAATCAACTCGTTTTGACAGCTAATGGAAATATTATTTAGTCATACAACACAATGGAGTTTGGACATAGGAATAATAGAATATATATCTTATTTGTTAGACGAGAGATTGAAAGGTGAAACATAATGATTAAAAAATAATTAATATTTTTCATGATTCACAAAATTTAATAAATATTTATCATCTTGTTGAATAATTCTAAAAATTATATTCAAGAAATCTTTATAATTTGAAAATTAAACTTCTTTGGAAAGCTATAAGTATGAAAATACCATAATTTTGATTTAATCTAATTAAATTAAAATTAGTTACATAGATTTCATATCTATTTAATTTACATGACCAAAATAAAAAAAAAATATATTTAATTTATAAAATAGATGGGTTAGTTGTGATAAATTTTCTAGAAATCTCTAGAAGCAAGTAAGATATCTTTTAATTAATGATAACTGGCTAAAATAAGCAAAATTAATGAGAAAAACGTTGATTATTATGGAATTAGTTCCAAAAGTATATGAACAAATATATTATACGTAATTAATGTATAATATTGTTCGGAATATGATTTTATAATTAGTTACCATAAGTACAATCAAATTTTATTTGATTTCCATAAACATTTGATTTTAGTTAGATTTTTCATTATTAATTCGAATTTATATTCCAAAATATTTTCAAAGATCCGATTTCAGAATTTCGGGTTAATTTTTTGATTTTGACCCGACCCATTTACATTTGTACTTCTCTTTTAATAGTATAGAGATTACTCATTTGGAGCATCCACAGTTCAAGTACTTCTTCCATATGCATACGCGGGTTCAAATCACAAGTTGATGGGAATGTGGATGCTTCTTCTACGCACTGCTTGTCTTGATAAGAAGAAGGAATGTTGGTTTATTGTCAACGGTGTACCAATCCGCTATTCTATCCAAGAATTTGCACTCATTTCTGGTTTGTTCTGTCATTCTTATCCAAAAAACTATGAAGCAATTGGCAGCGATAGGTTCTCTGGAAAACATTTTGGTACAACCGGAACAGTTACATATGCAAGAGTGAAGGAAAAATTACTCTCGATGAAGAGATCTAACCCTGACCGTTTGAAGATGGCTGTCCTATATCTCTTATGTAGTGTGATCGTCGAGAAGAGAAAAACTGGACCACAAGCAGAACCTGTGGAAGACTTGTTTCTTACAGCCGTGGAAGATCTAGAATGGTGTAAAACGTTCCCATGGGGCCGATTTGCATTTGAACATAATATGAAAGATATTTTTCATCTCCTGGACCACTTTGATGGAGGATTGGGCGCACAATGGGTGTTTCCTAGCTTCGTGATGCCTTTGGAGGTATGTAATTTTAATATGGATTTTCTTATTATGAATGGGTACAACTGGGAAACTTGGTATAACTATAGTTTGAATGTATTGGTATTGTTTGTAGATTCTAGCATTTGAGGCCATCCCAAATCTAATGAACCAATTCAGAGAACATGTTGTATCAGCAGATCCTGAGTGCCCTAGGATGTGTAAGATGAAGTTCAAACCTAGTAGTATGAAAGATTTTCCTATGTCGGAGTTGTATGATTCTCTTGGTACAACAAAGGTTAGAGATTCTGAAATTTCTGTTATTTTTAATATCCATATGAAATTGAGAGTACAGAATTGAATGGTGTTTTTTTTTATGTGTGTTCATAGGAAATTGAGAGTATCATGCTTCCTAATCCTTCTGAAAATGAACTTTTGCGTCGAATAATGGATAATGAGGATGGATCAGATGATTTTGATGATGTGATTGTTAATGGTTGGACAAGGCGTATATTTAAGGTTCACAAGCAAGTTTGTTTTGAGGAGCTTCATAATATAGATGTTGGTAACCGTGTTATGGAGGAAAGTCAAGAGAATGCAGTTGTGGCTGGGGTGAGAGTTAGTGGGAGAAAGGTTGCTCCAGAGAAGGTGAGTAAAAAAGGATTGGTTGAGAAGCTACAAAAACAGTTGGAAGATGGTTTTAGGAGAATAAATAAGAAGTTTGATGGCTTTGATAAAAGACTCAAATGTGTGGAATTAGATGTGAAGAGTTTAAAAGAAGGTAGAGGGAAAGCTAATGAGTTGGATAAAAGAGGTGAAGAGAAAGATTATGAGTTGGAAGAAGATGAGATCGAAGAGAGTGGAGGTGAAGATAAAGAGAATGCTTCTGAGTTAGAAGAGGATGAGAATGGAGAAGATGGAGAGAAAGACAAAGAGTTTGAAGAAAATGATAATGGAGAAGATGGAGATAAAGAGTTGGAAGGCAAAGAGTTGGAAGAGAATGAGAATGGAGATAATGGAGAGAAAGAAAAAGAAGGTGATTTGGAAGGGAATGACTTGGATGGAGATAATGAAAAAGAAGGTGATTTGGAAAGGAATAACTTGGATGGAGATAAAGAGAAAGAGAAAGAAAAGTCAAGTGAGAAGAGACAACAGATGAAGAAGACGTACGAGAGAAAGAGAACAAGGAAAACAAGTGCAAAAGAACAAGAAGAAGAGGTTCAAGTCGGAAAAAAGGCTAAGGTGACGAAGAAGAAGGTGGATCCAAAGAAGAAGGTGGATCCGAAGAAGAAGAAGGTGGGTGTTATGGTTAGGAGTCCGATTATGACAAGGAACAAGAAGAAGTAAACTCTTTATGTGACATCTTTTTTGTTGCTTTTGGTTTGTGTCAGGATTTGTTATGTGGATGTTTAGGTATCTTTAAATATGTAGGGTAACTGCGGCATTTTGTTTAACTAGGTATTACTATGTTGTTTTGTTAAACTTGGTATTTTTATTATCTAGGTACAACTATGTACGTTTGTTCAACTTGGTATTTTTATTAATTATGTACAACTGCATCATATTTGTTAAACTAGGTAAAACTATGTACGTTTGTTCAACTTGGTATTTTTAATAACTATGTACAACTGCATCATTTTTGTTAAACTAGGTACAACTATGCAGCTATTTAGGTTTTATTTTTACAACATTACCAAAATTTAAATTTAAATAGATAGGAATTAGAAGACAATGACTAGGAGAAATATGTTTAATCGGACTTACAATACTAGAATTCGCCAAATACATATTTTTGAGACAAGTCCAAAAGAACTACAAAATTGTACTTAGAAATACCAAGTTACAAAAACAACTGTGAGAAGACAACCAACGAAAAAAGGTACCATCATTTTGGTAATTTCGTTGGTTTCTATCTGTTTTCCCATCTTTAGCAGTGCAACTTCTTCTTCAAGAACACGAACTTGAAAATCCAACAGTTCTACCTCATTTACCAATGCCTCGTCCACCCACTTGAAGACATGGCTATCGTTCATAAGCTACATTCAAAATTTAAAAAAGAATTAAGAGAACGTGATCTTCTACAAAAAAACTCATAAACTTACAATGAGACTTTTACGTTTCTATCATAAGCATATTTGCATCGATAGTAGCGGCGGTAAGGATTTGGGACTGATTTGGAGATCTTTTCAACGATCTCGTCACCACATCTACACCTCTTTGGAATCCCAGCAACTTTTACTCTTGTTCGACTAGAGGAGGTTTCACTCGAGCTCGGAACTGAAGAAACATGGCTCATCTTTCTTCTATGGAAGGTTAAGAGATTTTGGGATTGTTAAGAGATTTTAGAATTTTGTGATTTGAGATGGAATTGGGGATATTCAGATGGAAGATGTAATTGGGTATGATAGATTTCGTGGGATAAGGTGAAAAAAAAATATTTCATAAATGGGTGGAAAAGAAATGGAGGGAATTTCAGAAATTGGAGGGAAATGAAATGGGTGAAAAAGAAATGGGGGGAATTTCAGAAAAAACGAAGTATTGAATATTTTAAAGAGAAATTAGATATTTTGGGCAAATAACACGTGATCCACATTGCGCCGTCATTTGTACACGTGGCGCCGTCATTTGTACATAGGTTTTCCAAGTTTCCAAGTTGTACTTGTATACAAACAGTTGTACATTTTGGGGTTTACTGTATAATTAGTTATTCTTTGATTAATATTAATTTTTATTAGTTGTACACATGATTTTATGTATATGAGGTAAATTCCAAACACATTCATTCAAAAAAATGTGTAAAATGTTAATTTTTCAGACTTTTGACATTTAACATGGGGATTCAAAAGAAAGACATCTTAAAAGTATAAGGACTTTCATGTAGAGAACTAATATGTGTTAGGATTATCATATAAATTTTATTTATCAAATGTTGATTACAAACCTTGAATTTGATTATGTAACACTAAGTTGTCTATTTCTTTACAAAATTTGATTATGTAACACTAATTTGATTACAAACCTTGAATTTAAGAAGATTTGTTAATTTCCTCGGAGTTATACGAAACCAAGTTTATCCAAGTTTTACAAAATCAGAGAATGCATAAAAATAATACGATATCAGAGACATACATAGTTGTACCATTACGAAACCAAGTTTATCCAAGTTTTACAAAACCAGAGAGTACATAAAAACACGAGATCAGAGACATACATAGTTGTACTATTACGAAACCAAGTTTATCCAAGTTTTACAAAACCAGAGAGTGCATAAAAACACGAGATCAGAGACATACATAGTTGTACTATTACGAAACCAAGTTTATCCAAGTTTTACCAAACCAGAAAATACATTAAAACACGAAATCAGAAACATAAATAAAAATACTGAGTACATTAATCTTGGCCCCCTCCCTGGTTTCCACCTTCCCAGTCTGGAAACCAGCTCTCCAAATTTCTTCCTTCCACACGCTTACTCTTTCGGCGACGTTCCCCAACAGATGGATATCTAGTTTCTTGAACTCTACCCTTTCTTACAACATGAACCGGGGGGAATGCGTACAATTCTTGGATTTCACTTGGAATAACCCACTCAGACTTATGCGGCACTGGGAAAATCGTTCTAACACATGCCATAACCCAGAGCTCAACAAAATAATATTTCGTGAACAAATCATATAAACTACGTACCTCCGATGTTATATTTTCTTGTTTCAAGTGAGTCATTGTAGCGGCTATTGCATGTACACAAGAATATTTGTCCAAGTCAAAACGACGGCAATAACAAGTTTTATTCCTCAAATCCACCACATAGGTCTTACCATCGCGACCAATGACACTATATTGAAGCTCGTAGGTGTTAAGCTCCTTCACCGTTAATTTCTTTGCAACCTCACATGTATCGTGTATGTCGTTCTCCACAAAAGGAACAAGTTTCTGTGCATTTGATCCACCTATGGCTTCTGTCCTATTATTGCAGAACCATTCTGCAAATTTTTCAATAATTGAATCTATCATAGGTAACAGCGCATACCCCCTCACCTTGCTAAAAACACCATTCATAGATTCAACCGCATTACTGGTATCTATGTTGTACTTTACTCCGGGAAAATGACACCTTGCCCATTTTTCCAAATCGGTTTTATCATCAAGATATGTGGCTATCTTAGGGTACCTTCTTCTGAAATCTGCATATTCATTCTCAAACTCAGAAACTGTACAAATGGCTGCAATTTCCCTGAATTTTTTAGCAACGTCTTCTTTGTTGTGTGTAACTTTTGTTTTCACATTCTATGACAAATGATAGATACAGTTTCCATGGTGAGAGCTCGGGTACACCTCAGCCACTGCCTTGATGAGGCTTTGATTTCTATCAGACATGAAGACCAATTCAGGACTATCTGGTATGACGGTTTTCAGAGTTTCAAAAAACCACTTCCAAGTAACATCTTTTTCACCATCAGCTACAGCAAACGCTAAGGGATAATGGTGATGAATCGGATCTTGAGCTGTGGCAAAAATAAGAATACCGCCATATACAGTCTTCAAAAATGTTGCATCCACAATAATCACTTTCCTCATGACTTTAAACCCTTCAATGGCAGCCCCCAAAGCGACAAATAGGTACTTGAACCTTTTTTCTTCATCTAATACCACACTAGTTTTTGTACCAGGATTCACCTTCTCTAACATATACAAATAAGAATAAATCATCTTGAAACTCTCGACTGGACTACCACGAATATCACTAACAGCTAGTTTTTTTCCTCTATAAGCAGTCGAGTATGACACTGTTGTACCAAGTTTTCCCTGAACAAGACCAATGATAGTTTTAGGATCTGGGGTCTTGAATTTACCTGGATAATCATCATGCAATACAGATGCAACTAAACGTGGTGTGCCTCTCTTTTTTATGCCCTTAGCAGTAGTCGACCGAGAGCATATATGCATCTTCCTATATGTTTGAACCGAGAATCGAGTTGAGTCCTTATCCCTTGTAGCTCGTACATACCATTTACAACCTTCTTCAGCACATCTTACCACATACCGCTGCGTATCCGAGTTTAGTGTAAACACTCTAAATAAATTCAGATTTGCTCCTGTCTCAACTAAATATTGCACATCATTCTTGCTTTCAAATTCTTGACCTATTACTAGATCAAGACCATCTTCCCATGGCTTTTTAAACTTAGCGTTTTGGCTTGCATGTGGCTTCTCAACATATTCACGAATACCATCATTCTCCGTACTCCTTTCCCCATTGTTATCAACACCATTTTCCACATCTCTGATAACAACATTTTCTAGTGGCTCCAAAGGCTCATAAAGTTGTTCTGCTAGTGGTTCGTTTGCGTAAAGAGTTACGGCATCAACATTAGCTCTATCATTATCTATACCATCGGAAATCTGCTCAACAAAATTCACACCAACTGAACTTCTTCTATGTACTCTCGACTCTTGCTCGTTTAACAGAACCATTTCCAACTCATTACTGACTTCTACATGCAAGACACTTCTTTTCTCTTTATCCAACGTTGTTAGATAAACATATACATCATCATCATTCCAAATATACGAATATGTAGGAGGTTGAACTCCCGATGGAATGTAACTCAATTTCACCTTTGTTGTAGATTCATCTATCCTCATCTTCATGCATATCTTATCTACTAACCGCGAATATGTAATCTCCTCCATTGATGATGTCCTAAACAATAGACCGTACAAGCCAGGTACCCTTGGATTCCATTGATATGCATCTCCGGTTTTTGAATAATACCAATCATAATCAAAATGTATGTTAATTGGAAGGTTGCTCATTCTCCTGGTAAAAAAAAATACATTAACAGTTATACCAATATTACCAGTTATACCACATCTAACAGTTACCTCAGAAATACCAGATATACTACTTCTAATAGTTATACCACGTTTCTTAGTTATACCCAGGTTTTCTCAAAAATACCAGATATACTACTTCAAATAGTTATACCACGTGTCTTAGTTATACCCAGATTTTCTCAAAAAATACCAGAGATACTACTTCAAACAGTTATACCACGTTTTTAAGTTATACCCAGGTTTACATGTTCTACTCTATTTGCAAATCGATTCTCAGACCAAAAACACTAATCTACCTACTGTTAACAACGAATCAACCACTACAGTCCATTAAAGTGTCTTAATCGACCCAGAATACATGGTTACCAACACAATGTTCATTAATTACCAACACCAATTGAAAACTCTATCAAATCTAATAGAAATCTCCAAATTTCAAACAGTTATACCAAAATAAACTAAAGACTCGATGTTAGAAAGAAGTGGATGAAGAGAATAGTAACTGACCTAGAGATTAAAGCTTCACTTTCAATGGTGGACGAACGACGACGACGGCGTGGTGGTGATTTTGAGTTTTGGATTGGATTTGTCCCGATGA